CAGATTGAGAGCGCCCTGCAAGAGGCGATTGACACCGTAGAAGAGTACCTTCGTCCTTCAGTGCTCAAGTGCTCCTCGAGTAAGTCAGAACTTTTACTGTATCGGACAGCACGCCAGGAACGAAGCCCAGGGGATGGAAGCCGTTAAACCCAATAGACATCCACCTCCGTACAAATCAAGGGGATGCCATCAAGAGGGTCGACTCCATTGAAGTCCTGGGCATGCTGATAGAGTCTAGCGGCGCCAACAGCAAATCTATAGCTAAGTTAACCTGGAAAACAGACAATGCGCTGCACCTCATACGCAGAATGGCCAACAAACAAAATGGGATCAAGGAAGACAACCTCATTAGGTTGATGCATGCGTTTGTTCTAAGCCACTTCACGTACGAAGCAGCAATGCACAACTGGTCAAGAGCAGAGTCCGAGACACTGAATGTGCTCCTCAGGAAAGTTATCAAGAAGGTCCTGGGCCTACCCATACACACCAGCACCGAGCGTCTGCTTGAGCTTGGCATTCACAACACGCTCGAAGAAATAGCAGAAGCCCAAGAGAGAGCACAGTTTGCAAGGTTATCTACAACAAGGTCGGGGAAAATGATCCTGCAGGAGCTGGGCCAACATCCAATGGCAATCAAACGCAATTACAATGATATCCCCGACAACATCAGGGAGAATATATCACGGTGTCTCCTATACCAAGAAGCATGCATCCAGAACACAACGTCGGAAGAAGAGTAGCGAGGGCCAGGACTATACTTCGTCAAGTCTCAAACGAGGAACGAGGGGTCGTATTTATTGACGCGGCTACCTACGCGAATGGGAAAGCATTTGTGGCAGTGGAGGTCGGTTGGGCTGGCCATGTCGTCAACTCAGCGACGGTCAGGATGAAAGACCCAATCATTGCGGAACAGGTGGCCATCGCCTTAGCACTCATGATTGATAACACTGAAGTCGTCTACAGTGATTTCATAGCAGCACTACGGGCGTTCGCCAAGGGGACGGTCTCTGAACAAACGCTGAGAATACTGCAAGGCAAGAACATAACGCCTCATCTTCTGAGTTGCTTCCCAGCTCACCTTGGGCAAATCAACGATTCCCCTCCAAATCTCAATGAAGCAGCACACGAGGCGGCTCGAGAACTCTCCAACCGCGCCTCCCCGGGGATGCGTTCTACCGGTGAAGGGGATAACCTGGAAATTTTTACAACATATAACGAGCTCACTAAACATTTCTACCGGTCTAGAAGGATTTTCCCTCCATCTCACAAATATCTAACCCGGCCCCAAGCACTTACATTAAGGCTTTTGCAAACGCGGATGTACCCTACTTTGAAAATGTTACACATAATGTACCCTGACCTATACCCAAGTAATCTTTGTCCACATTGTGGGGAAATAGCTTCATTAGAACACATGCTCTGGCAGTGCACCGAATTCGCTCATATATCGAACATCACCTCTGCCAGATGGGAAGCGGCAATTCGCAACTCGTCCTTGGCAGATCAGCTCTGGGCTGTCCACCAAGCCCACGAGGCGGCTGAGGAGCTTGGCATCTCAGTCCCCACGTGGAAGCTGCCCGAAAAACAGTGATCTGTGTTTTGGAGGACCAAATAAAAGTTTATCCAATCCAATCCAATCCAATGCGATACATTTCTTAGCGCACTTTGGCGACATTGAGCGTATCTATCTATCTATCTATCTATCTATCTATCTATCTATCTATCTATCTATCTATCTATCTATCTATCTATCTATCTATCTATCTATCTCTATCTATCTATCTATCTATCTCTCTATCTATCTATCTATCTATCTATCTATCTATCTATCTAGCCGCCTACAACTTCCAGCTCTCCTGGCCGTTTCGATAATTGTATCGATACCAAACGTGGTATCGCATAACATAACTGTATGAAGAATATACTTGATTTGTCATAACATTAAAATTATGACATGTATGTCATGATCTCATAATTTACATTTCATGGTTTTGCAACTCTTTCGGTGGTGTCGTTCACATGGCATGTTGCAAAACTGGTATGGTAGTACATGATTGCATGGCGAACACAAATGACAGACCCTAGCATAAAAATAATGACATGCGTGTCATGAAGACAACATGACTACATGCCACGCTATGATACCCTCGCGGCCGTTTCGCTAGCTTCACTTGTAGCTAATTTAGTATTACGGGACAAGAATGGATTGCGAAGGTATGATACTGGTGCAAACTTGATGAACATGAGATGCGTGTCATGGAACAACATTACAGCACGCTACGCTCTTGATGCCCTCGCGGCCGTTTCGCTAGTTTCACATGTACCATAGTCGGTATTACGCGACTCGAATGAATGACATAGGTAAATGACACATACAAACATGATAATCAAGACATGCGTGCCATGTAACATGACTACATGCCACACTGATTACGTGCTCGCGGCGGTTTCCTTAGCTTCACATATGCCAAATTTGGTATTACGTGACGCCAACGGATGGTGTAGGTATGGGACTGGTGAAAACATGATAATCACGAGATGCGCGTCATGTAAGAAATTGACTACACCCCACAGTGAAGGCGCCAATACATTTCGACGTGACGTGGTGCGCGTGCTCACCGGCGTTCATTTCGTCGCGTCACGCCAGCGTTGCGACGCCAGGCGCCGGTCCTGCCATGTACTCGCAGGCGCGCGCCGCGCTGCGATGCTTTGACGCATGCGCGTTTCAGTGCGTACGGCGTCCCTCCGTAATGAAAAGAGGGAGACGCAATGTTGTCTGAGTAACGCATCGGCGCAAAATGCAGCATGTCGCATTTCGCGCCGGTTGCCGTCGGGCCGCGCCGACGGACGCTGGTTACGCGTGGCGTCAGACTATAAAGTGCCCGAGTTTTGCTAACGTATCGTCGCGGTGCCCAGCATGCGCGCGCGTCATTGGAGTAAATTGGGCCTTTCTTGATGCGCTCGCGGCCGTTTTGCTAGCTGCACGTATACCAAATTTGGGGTTAAGTGATGTCAATAGGTGACGAAAGGATATGAATGGTGCAATCAGGATAATCTTGACACGCGTGTCATGTAAGAACATGACAATATACCTCGCTCACAGCGTACTCACGGTCGTTTCGCTAGCTTCACATATACTAAATTTGGTATCACGTGACGTGAATAGATGACGAAGGTAAACAACACATCCAAACATGATAATTGTGACACGGAAGACATGTTCGACATCAGTTACCTCCACCTCGTAACGTTGTGCTGATTTTAAAGTGACATATAAACATTTTTCATTCGTGCTTCGCATATCATCGATTCCCACTGTACGTGGGATATGCAAATTTTTTACTTGCAGACGGTACCTGCGTCGGCCTTGCGAGGTGAAAGAGGGTGAGGAGAGCGACACAAAATTACACTTCAGGGGGAAAGATGAGCGCCAATTCTTTCCGGATAATCGGCAATTTAAAAGTAGATTATCGATGACAGCAATGACATCAGTGACGTCAGTACACTCTTTCACACTTTGCTTTTTTCCCACCATTGACACTCTCTTTCTTCAATTCTGGTGAACACGACAATGCTACGTTTTACCATAATTAAACCATACACTTTATTAAGAATAAAATACACATTTACTTAAAGCGATTTCAAGCAATTTTGGTTGCTCCGTCCTGTGTCTCGTAAGCTTGCGGAAAAGCACCCCTTGGCATGCAACAGCGCACAACGCGCAGGTGCTTCTGAGAGCCAGCTAAGGCCGTTTCACAAGGCACAAAAAGTAGCGATTTTCAGTCTGCGAATTCGCTCGCAGCGTAAAAAAAAAGTGCCAGCTCGCTCTCACTGCAGCGGTCCGTGGCAAGCTTCCAACATGTTGAAAGTTTGGATGATATGTGGGGTTTAACGTCCCAAAACCACTATATGATTATGAGAGACGCAGTAGTGGAGGGCTCCGGAAATTTCGACCACCTTGGGTTCTTTAACGTGCACCCAAATCTGAGCACACGGGCCTACAACATTTCCGCCTCCATCGGAAATGCCGCTGCAGCCGGGATTCGAACCCGCGTTCTGCGGGTCAGCAGCCGAGTACCTTAGCCACTAGACCACCGCGGCGGGGGCTGTTGAAAATTTTCCCTGGGACCCTAGTGGCAGGAGCGATTTTAGTCGGGTCCCGTCGAAATAGGGCCAGGCCGGCAAACCTGTCGAAATTGCGTCGACGTGTTTGTTTTGGTAATGGCCGCTGTTACGAATTTTAAACTGTAGTTTGAATAAAAAGATGTTCATAAATGGTGAAACTCAAGTGAACTTCGTTACCGTTCATGGAAACTTAATATGTCATAAAGCACATGTAGATTGTTAAACTATATTTGAGAAAGTTTTGTTGTCTGCCACAACGAACGGTCGCAAGAAACCTAGCTCGCTGGTCCAGTCGCCGAGCGATAATCGTGGCCCGTTCCCAGTCCATAGGAAAAGAAACCGCCATTAGCAGCGTTGGCGAACAGAGTGATTGGAGTGAACGGAACGATTTTTCTCACTGCTATCGCGGCATGTGAAACAGCCTTTAGACGACGTTCAGTACGAGTATCAAACTGAGATAAGAAAAAGAAACGATGGTGTCTTTTTCAGTCTTTACGGAATAAAGGTATTTTGTTTAATGGTCTTAGTTCTAATGATCCTTCAGCAATGAGCAAAATGCCCACATTTTACTTGGAGTTGCATTCTCGGTGATATACACGCAGATATATAGGCGCTGTCATGCCACCATTCGGACGAGAGGGCATTTAGCAAAGAAATCAGTCGACATATCAGAGGCGGCTGTTTATCATGACAATACAGTGTCACCTGGTGCCACTGCTTGCTTTTTCCGCAAAATGCAGTGGCTGCGACACTTAGTATAATATTGCCAGCGCAAGCACCCTCACTTGGAAACACGTGACTTCTTTGCCGAGGGGCGTTGCCGGTTCCCTTAAATAGTCGAAGCAATAGTCCGCGCCGTGCATACGCGTTTACAGCAGCTATGGAGGCTGGCGGTCCAGGCAGGCGAGGAGCGCCGCAGCAGAGAGGAGGCCGTGGTCGCGGTGGAGGCCCTGATCGCGGTAGAGGCCGTGGATACGCTGGAAATGCTGGAGGCATTCCAAGCCCCAGACATGGTAGAAGTCCTGGAAACTATGGAGGCCCTGAACATGGTGGTAATCATGGAAGCTATGGAGGCTATGGAGGTGGTGGTAGTCCTGGAAGCTATGAACAGCCTGGGCCTAGTAGAAGTCCTGGATGTAGTGAAAGGCATGGAGGTGGTAAAAGTTTTGGAGGCAGGGGAAGCCCTGAACGCGAAGGAAGTTCTGGACGAACAGGACCACGACGCGAAGAGGGACCTCGTGGACAACATTCTCGAGGCGGACAGCAGGAACCGCAACGAGGAGGCAGAAAGGGTGGCGTGCAATGGCAAGGTAAGGGATGCTTCGTCGTGTAATAACGATCAATTCTCTTAGTTGAATCATTATTGCGAAACACGGGGCGTCTCCCAGTCCCGCGTACTGTTTGATGGGGCCAATCTGGGTCACGTTGTATTCGTCTTTGCCACGTTGTAGACACTGCGTGTCAGTAATGACATTCCAATTCCACTTTGTGGGGTGGTGCCAGCGAACACTACCATAACTTTCTTTTCAACTCGCTCAATGTTTAAGACGTCTATATATCGGCAACTCGTCTTCTCAACTCGTTATACTTGATGACCCAGATGGCAGCATCATGACGAGCTTGTTAAATCCGCGAACCAATGCAGTGTGCGTGATGTGCATACCCGCCACAAATCTGTTATTGCGAGTTATTGGTTCGAACACGATGCCTGTTGACAAAACCCGAAGCCTAGATTTCCAGTTAAATGGGATGCGTGCTACCTTACTTCCTCAGTATATCTAAATGAAGGCACAGTCTCCTTCCCTCGGCTAAGTAAAAGAGAAGTGGTAGAGAAGGAAAGCTGTCGAGGTTAACCAGTCTTGATAACCGTTCTCTAACCTTACACGTGGGAACGGGATGGGGAAGATTAAGAGAGTGAAAGGGTAGAAAAAGATAGCACAACACATACACAAGCACGCGATCGGTCAAGGTGTAGCAATTTGGAGTGGCCCGCGACGTCACCATCACAGCCGCTCGTCAGTCCGTTTTTCTCATTACGTATAGCGGATGCCAGATTATTGCGTTAGTATGGCGCACTTGGTGTGTGTCTGTCTCCGTAAATGTGCATGAACTGTTTCATTATCGGTTTTCTGCAGAACCCTGTTTCAATACTATGGTGCAGCGTAATTCCCAGTAGTGAGTTTGTTGTAGTTATACAATACACATGAGGTTCATCGTGTGAGCCCTTATATCAATCACTATCTAGGTTACATTGGGCATGTTTCTTATTTCGTACGTTTTGAATGCCATTTTTACCGACGCGTGCGCCATTTTAAAATCTTGTAATTGGGTGGATTTATTGACCCAGCCGGGCAGTTTTTCTGTACAAACGGCGGGATCAAAAAGAAACTGACACCGCTTCGAGCAAACACAGGTTAGATGTCGTGCTTTGAGCTGTGATTTCGGCATGTGGGGTCCGATAATTTGTGGAAGCTCCGTCCTATTGTTCAAGCACGGCGGTTTGAATCACGTTTATCTATAATGCGAACGGTTTCGCACACTACAGCCACTGTCCCTGCTATGTTACGCTTCTGTTTGCGTCGGATAGTTGATAGACCTAACATGCGGCAAGACAATTTGCGGTGTCTTTGCAACGTCTTCCGCGTGTTTTCGCAAATGTCTTGAGACTGATCGACGTCGCCGTATTTCCTACTCGACACAAATAACACTGGCCTTACGGGCGCCGTTTTTATGGGGACAGCATGTAATCAACTTGAGGCAGGTCTAACGAGCCGAAAGCTAGCTAGCCACTACTTGCTAAAGTTGATTGTGCGCTTTAGTACACTGCTCTTTGCTCTGCACTGAACGCATGCGCACAAGCCGAAATCCTAACCTCGTTTTCGTTCAGCTGGCGTTCGAATGCACAAGCTTCGACGCCGCCGTAAATTTATACCATGTGCACGTGTGTCGCTTAAAGATCGCCCGAGCGATTGTGTTACAATCGTGGCACTATGCTGCGTGTGCTTATCGCACTGAACGCGACTTGCATACATGTGTGCCTGCGAATTGTTTCACGCAACTGATTCCACGTTCACTCTCCCACGTGGGCAACTTTACCCTCTTCAGCGTGCATCACACTACCAGCCGTCATAGGCGTCTCCGGTACTAGTCTAGCCTGCAGTCACCTCAATGTCATCGCTTCCCCGCATACACGACAGAAGCTGCGGGGTTCGCTTTGGCAATCGGGTATTCTGCAATTAATCCACGTAACGATTTCGGCTTGCTTCGCCCCGCCCCGGTGGTCTAGTGGCTAAGGTACTCGGCTGCTGACCCGCAGGTCTCGAGATCTAATTCCGGCTGCGGCGGCTGCGTTTCCGATGGAGGTGGAAATGTTGTAGGCCCTTGTGCTCGAATTTGGGTGTACGGTAAAGAACCCAAGGTGGTCAAAATTTCCGGAGCCCTCCACTACAGCGTCTCTCGTGATCATATGGTGGTTTCGGGACGTTGAACCCCACATATCAATCAGATCGCAACATAGCACCGGCGCCAGTATTGGCGACCACCCCCGTAAAATCGGGTCACGGCTGCTACGAGCAACCCCTCCATCTCGAGTGGCTTCCTCCGTGCATTCGAACCTGGTCTAACAGGCCGTTCATTTTGCATGCTTCGCGATGGAGACCAGCTCGTTTGATCTGTGCTTCAGCCGCGTTCGTCTCTCCCATGCTATAGACCTTAGACAAAGTCGCTGTCATCTGTAGGCAGTCGTTAAACCCCACGTATCAATGAATCGGGCATTCTTTATTGTAAAACTAAAGTGGAGCACGTGGGCCCCTAGTCTTCTGCCTTGATCGACGTGCGACCACCACAGCCAGGACTAGATGCAGAGTCGGTTCAGTAACCAGGTATATCATTAACTAGGTTCAGTAACACTCCCCATCCTTTGTTTCAGAGGGCTGTATTTCATTGTAGAAATCTTCAGAGCCCTCTGCTATGGCATGCGTCGTAGTCCTGCTGCGGGTTCCGCATAGAGAACTCTGCATAACACTATTCCTATTCTTATTAGACATCTTATTTGAAATATCATTTCCGAACGCTCCGTCTTGTGGAAATTTGTAGTACCATTTTCGAGGTTTCGTCCATTTGTTTTCCCCAGATTACTGGATTTTTTTCACCTCGCGCGCAGACTATATCCACTCCCTTATCCAAAACTTAATAGGCCACAAGCCCTTGCGCTCAGACTACTGCAGATCGACACGTAGACCTGATATCCCTTTACGCTATTTATCCTGATGTGTTCCCCAATGACGCTTGCCCCGCCTGTGGGGACGTATGCACGCTGGCGCACATGCCCTGGGAGTGCAAGGCAATGTACACTAACCCCGACACTACATTGCGCACTCGTGGTATCGGTACCACGAGTGCGCATCGTAAATAAAATAAGCATTTTCATGACCATTTTTCGGCTCGTTTTGGAACTTGCCTGGGCCTCTTTTCCAGTCCAAAGTGGCCCTTAACAAACGTCATGTCTGCTAGCCCGAAGCCTGCCCAAAACCTTCCAGAGAGCTTCTACGACTAAATTGTTCTGGAAGCGTATGGTGACCCTCTGGCTCCCCGCGGGTCGCCAGAACCAACAAACCCAAAAAAACGAACGCCGACCGAAAGTGCACCGCGGGGGGGGGGGGGGGGCGAAACATCTAGAGAAACGAGCGCGTTCTAGCTGGCTCTGGCAGCCTGCGAGTAGCCAGAACTAAAAACTTGAAGAGCCCCACTGCTAGGCGGGCGTGAGCTACTTGGCACCGCTCCACAACCTGCGGTGATGGGAGCAGTGCGGATGGCAGGACCGCGTCACAAAGGCTAGTCGAGGCTCCTTTAGATCTAAAATGCAGCCCCTCCTACTAGTCTTGCCTGCTGCGCATCCACACCAAACACACAAAAAAACCGAAGGTGTAACATAACCTCCGTCGCTGCCTCGGCCTTCTTTTCTTTAAAGTTGTATAAGCACTGTCCCGAATGAACTTTCTATCAAGCTTCACTAATTGGATATCGAACTGTGTTGCTATCACTTAAAGAAACGTTTTATATGCACCATGCGGTGGACGAACAAGGTGGCGTGGCTTTATCGGCACTGACAGTCGTTTCATGCTCGGTCCGTACCTACCTATCTGCTTTAACACACGAACTTTAAAATGCACATGCTTTAGGACGTTTCAAATACTTCAGTAGAAGTACAATTTGATGTACGATCTGAAGCAAACTTCTCACGAGGTGCCTTGTCGTATGCATTAGGTGATAGTTCGTTTTTTATTTAGTTCTTTAACCGACTGCGTTCCACTTGTACCCTTCCCAATCGGTTCGTCACTGAAACTAATTACACGCATTGAAAGTCGCCATTTCTGCTAACATTCATGCCTTTGGCTCAAAATAGGAGCCATGCATCGACCTCGTGCTCCCATCCTTAATAGTGAGCTTTACTGCAAACGTCTCGACTAGTCGATCTGCTGCGCTCGTGTCACTTGCAAACGCATACATTCAATCACTTCGGCGATTTCAAATCAGTGGCGAGGATTCGTTCAACGTGTCGCGTTCTTACGAAAGTAAGGTAGGTCACGTGATCGAGTCCTGGTCGCGGCGGCCATAATTTTGATGGAGGCGAAGAGGCTTGAGTGCCGGGCACTTGGCCTTTGATGCAATTTGAAGAATCTCAGATGGACTAATTTTTCAAAGCGCTCTACTAAGGCGTTTATCATTATCATGTTGGGGGTTTGGAACGTTAAGCCCCAATAATTTTTACTCTGTAGAACAATGCCTGAGAACTTGCATGCATAACCGGGTGGTAGAAACAGCAGAGCCCATAGTCATGGCGTAGAAATAGATCCCGTTCTTTATAGGGAGATATCCGCAGACCTTCTTGCTTTTTGAAGCAACACTAGCATTAAGCAATCCGTGCTTAACCGCAGACTTGCTGCAGTCACTCACGAGGCCAAGCTGCGCTTGTTACTTAAGTGTTGGCAGTGTATACTTGTAGCTTGTCAAATTGTCACTTCGATAGCCTTGGCGAGTTGGTTGAAAACTCTGGTCCTTCCCACATCACGTGTTCGTTTCTTATATGCTTGGTCGATTTGATCGCTATAGCATAACCCCTTCGTTGTTCTTCGTTGATCACTGCAGCTAAACCATTTTCTTCGTCACGCCAGTCCTGTATGCCGTGAAGACCATGTTGTACCGTTCGGTTTACTAAAACCAGAGGACACTGCAGCACAAATGCTTGGTTTTGTGGTGAAGTTTTGACAGTGATGGTGTTCGCCCTCTGCCCTACGGGGAAGTTTCCGTTTGAGTCATTCTTTGTGCGACGTGCTTGGGAAAGCCGAGCACCAGATGATGATCCTCGAGGTGTTGACTGCACAGACATGTTGACTACTGCACCCATTGAATCCGGAATAACAAGTGATTTGTATAGGCTTTTTATATTATTTGGTAATGGGTGATTTTCAATACATCATTAGCTGAGGTCCTAATTAGCAGTCCAGGTTCGAGTCAATAGCGTGTAAGATTAAACTAATAAATGAGTTTGACGCTCATATTGGCCTGATCACTATCAAATGCGACGCATTTCTTAGGCGAACTTCGGCGACTCTGAGCGTATCTATCTAGCCGCCTACGACCTTTAGCTCTCCTGCCGTTTCGATAATGGTATCGATACAAACTTGGTATGGCATAACATGACTGTATGAAAAACATATTTGATTAGTCGTAGCATGAAAGTCATGGTATGTGATGATTTACGTTTCATAGTACTTGCAGTTCTTGCGGTGGTTTCGTTCACATGGCATGTTGCAAAACTGGTTTGGTATGACATGATTGCAAGGTGAACGCAAGTGACAGACCCTCGCATGAACATCATGACATGCGTGTCATGTATTACCATGACTACATGCCACTCCTGATGCACTCGCGGCCGTGTCGCTAGCGTCATACACGAAATTTGGTATTACAGTACGTGAGTGGATGATGAATGTATGACTTGTGCAAACATGATAATCATGAGATGCTGTCATGTAACATGACTACATGCCACGCACATGATACGCTGCCAGCCGCTTCGGTTGCTTCACTTATGCCAAATTTGGTATTCTGTGACGTGCCTGGACGACGCGGGCATGACACTGGTGCAAAGATAAGCAAGAGATGCGCGTCATGTCAGAACATGACTACATCCCACAGTCAAGGCGCCAATACATTTCGACGTGACGCAATGCACGTGCTCGCCGGCGTTCATTTCGTCGCGTCGCGCCGGTGTTGCCACGCCAGGCGCCGGTCCTGCCATATAATCCCAGGCGCGCGCTGGTCAGCGTTGCTTAGACGCATGCGCGTTTCAGCGCGCTCGGCGTCAGGATATAGAATGCTGGCGTTTTGCAAACGTAGCGTCGCTGTGCCCAGCTTGCGTGCGCGTAAACGCTAAATTGGAGTATATTGGGCCCTTCATGCTACGTTCGCGGCCGTTTCGCTAGCTCCACATATACTAAAGTTGGTGTTAGGTGACGTCAATGGATGACGAAAGTATGACTGGTGCAAACATGGTGATCCTTACACGCATGTCATGTAGAAAAATGACAACATGACACGTTCATAGCGTACTTACGGTCGTTTCACTAGCTCCACATATACTAAATTTGGTATCGCGTGACGTGAATAGATGACAAAGGTAAACCAAACATCAGAATGATGGCACGGAAGTCATGTACGGCATCATTGACTGCCACCTCGTAGCATTGTGCTGATTTTAAAGTGACATATCAACCCTTCTCATTCGTGCTTCGCATACCATAGATTCCCACTGTACGTGGGTTCTGCCAAATTTTTATTTATTGTAGCGAACATATGGTTCGCGTCAGCCCTGGTCGGCACCACAAAAGTGCGCTTTTAACACTCCTGTGAACATTTGCGCGATTGAGTGATCCGGAATTACTGCAATCACAGCCACGAATTGTGCGGAGCATCACCCTCTGTAGCGTAACTAGCGGTCGGTAGTGTGTACGGAAGCTTTCCTTGTTCTTCTAATTTTCTTCCGGTGTAAATACTGCCACGCGTTTCTCAAGTTTTGTTGTCACACCATTATGCGCGTAACTAGTGCCTTGCACGACCTCGCCAATTACCATTATTATTACCATAGAAATAATCATACGCCCTTTTGATGCGATTGTGCGCTAAACGTGAACATGTGCATTATGCTGAAACTTAGCGTGGCCGCTTACGATAACGCTGGAACATTCGATGGCACAAGTATAACTGTCGACGCTCGTCATCGCTCCTGGGTTTCATCGACGGCACATACTCTGTTCACGGCTATCAGTGCTACTGTGTATGCTGTAATCTCGCTTCGCGTTTGAACGGCCGCAAGTTCGTCCAAGTAGTTTCACCTTGACGACATCGACTGCTCCTCCCCCCTCACCCTCCCGTCACTACCCCGTAAACATATCGCATGATTGTTTCAGCCCTATCACTCTACAGTGTTTTTAAGAACACTTACTCTTACTGGGAGTTCACACGTGATGTTCAGGCCGTTCTTTAATGGGACGTTGAACACCACATATCTAAATTATTGCCATTTCTCAACAGCGCGACCGTGCTCGTTGTGAAAGCTTACATGGCTACTGCACTTTCCTCAACTGTAGGCCCGTGTGCTCAGATTTGGGTGCACGTTAAGAACCCCAGGTGGTCGAAATTTCCGGAGCCCTCCTCTACGACGTCTCTCATATTCATATGGTGGTTTTGGGACGTTCAACCCCACATATATATCAAAATCTGTGCACTTTCCTTAATGCATTTGCGTGTCTTGGGTATACCCAGCACGACTTTTTTTTTTTGTTTCATCGTTTCAAGGTCTCTTGAGATTGACCGTCTTCAAATGGGATGTTATCTTTTTTTTTCTTGGCGCTTTAGGACTTGGCAGAGATCATCGGTAACACTTCTGGGCTGCTACTTTTATGCTCTGAGGTATGGCTGACTGCTCCCATTAGCGCGAGTACTGGGTAAACTTAGCGAAAGCCTTCCTGTTTGTGATCGAAGACGATATGTTTTTCTGCAGCCTGTACGAAGAAGGTAGGGGCTAGACTGCCGTTTTCAGGATATGAGAAATTATTCTCGCCCGTGCTTGCAGCATACCCTATGATAATACACGTGTCAAATAGTTCTCGACGCGTTTCAACCGCGTTCGCCATGCCAATGCTGCACTGACTCAAAGGTTGCTGTGTTATTAAACGCTTCGGGCAGCACTCGACCATCCCGTCATAAATGCCTACACTGCCCAGGGCTGTGGGCTGGTGGGTACCGATCGCAACGTACTAAATATGAATGTCGATCGGGCCAGATGACACCGATTCATCTTTGTAGGAAGCTCAAAACTATCCAGGGACAGCAAGAAATACGCGACACTAGCGTTTAACTTCGACTGAGTGGTTATTTGGGAGGGCATATAAAAGTGTATGAAGTGTATATCGGAAAAACTCGCTTGTTAAGCTAATCAGTGCCTATTTGTTATTGCCTCGCACAACATCTAAACTGCGAAGTCTCTTCGATGCGAGTGTCGTGGGTGGTGCACTCTCAGTCATCACGTTTCTTTTCTGCAGCCGCGGCTATAAATCTAGGCAACAAATTTTTCTGGCGATACACAATGAACGTGCTGTCAAAGTACTGCACACAAGTCATCACAAATTGCAAAAATTCGCAAATAGCCACCTGACCTATCACTGCAGCGAGTTTTTTTCCTTCGCATAACCACGCATCTTTACCTTTTTGCACAACCTTTTTTTTTTTTTGCTTGAGCACTCGAAGTAGTCACTGAGCTTGCAAAGAGCTCCGCCACAAAGCTAGAATGGGACTTTTTTTTATCCTTCATGTTTTGTGTAATGTCTGCAAGCTCTCTATTTGCCTTTAACATGCAGATCCTGGAACGTCAACGGAGCTACCCTCGGCTGAATACACTGATCCACAGCTGTTGAAGCGTGCACAGGAGCACTGGGGCACCTATAAAAAGATGAAGCTGCGCACAAACTACTTTCGTATAGCACGACCGAGCGGTATCGTATACCACTATGACGTGCAAATCGACCTCATACGCAAACCTTCCAGCGCCGCAGAGCCGCGGGGCCTCAGCACACGTGTCAAGCGTCTCGTCATAGAGGCCCTTCAGAAGACCAAGTTCCGGCCCTATTCGCTCGCGTTCGATGGCGAAAAGAATATCTACACAAGCCGGGAGTTGCCATCGAATGAATGCGAATGCATCGTACAAATCGACAAGGGCGGGCCGGACTTCTCCGTCACCCTCAAGCTCGCATCCAGCGTAGACATGGACAAGCTGAAGACTTCGTTCAACCAAGACGTGCATCAAAAACATATCCAGGCCCTCGACGTCATCATAAGGCACGCTGCACGCCCGGGTCACGAAGTCGTGGGGCACTGCTTCTTCAAGAATCCGCAAGCTGAACCCCTCGAACTTGGAACTTTTGCAGAGCTGTGGTCCGGATACTATCCAAGCTTTCGGCCATGTGAGAAGTCGCTGATGCTAAATATTGACTTCTCTGCAATGCCCTTCTACAATTCAAGAAGTCTACTGGATTTCGCAACAAAGTGCCGCGAGGGAGATGAGATCACTTTGTGGGACACCCGTCTCTTGACGGAGGCGCTCGAGGGTTTACAGGTTTATACTACACACTTGGGTCACAAACGGTTTTACAGAGTGGTAAAGGTCGGTGAAAACAATGCTGCCGATCAAAAACTGAAAGGCCAAGAAAGTGCCACGAATGGCCAAGAAATGGAAAATAGCGAAGAAATGGCCAAGAAAAGCCATGAAAATGGAAAGGGCGAAGAAATGAGTGTTGTCGAGTACTTCGCAAAGAAATATGGGATTGAAATCGAACCGAGGCTGCCATGCATACTTTGCAAAGGGAAAGAAGAACCTTACCTACCACTGGATGAATGTCACGTTCCAGCGCAGCCGTGTAAAAGTAAGCTCACCAAAAAAATGACCGAGGACATGCTCACGCTCACCGCATTATATCCTGAACGTCGGTTCGAATTTATCGGGCACACTGCTAAAGATTTTTTCTCGAGAGCGCAAACTGATCTCGACAAGTTCAGGCTCAAATTTTTCGAGAAAATGGTAGAAGTCGACGCTCGCATTCTCTCGCCTCCCTCAATTCGTTTCCCGGGTCGTCGGAGTAAGACACTTCAGCCCGATAATGGCGCATGGTACCCACCCAGAGGCAGTTTGAAATCTTGCCCCGATTTTAAAACCACTTTCGTAGTGCTGGCAGTCAACTGCGAAATCGGCGAGCAAGAACTGATCCATGCAGTTCGCGAATTGCGAAACACTGGTGCAGATCTCGGCCTTCGCCTGTCCTGTGACGAGCGTACAGATATTAAATATGTGTGCGCTTACGGTTTGAACGTTTCAGAGCTCACTGCCACTTTCGGTGAACTTGGTGCTGTTCAAAAGCCTGATGATAAAACGCATGATAGAAAGTTTGTCCTTGTTGTTCTGGGAAACTCTTCTCTCTACGCGACCGTCAAAGCTGTCGCAGAAATAAACAACGGAGTCATGACTCAATGCGTCCAAGAAGAAAAGCTAAAGAGCGTAAAAGGAAGAGGACTGTGGAAAAACATCTGCTTAAAGCTGAATGCTAAGCTTGGCCGCTGCAACAACATTACCCATAAGGTGGAGACCACGCTGGTCTTTGAAGATGCCATCTTCATCGGTATTGATGTAAACCATCCTGCCCCCGGGGAAAAGTGAGTAATCTATATTTTTTTTTCATTCTTTCTGTTTTAACGCGGCTGCTTTTTTGCCGCAGGGTCCACCAATACATTATGACATGCTTTCGTCACAGAAATGACTTGTAAAAAATGCACATGGTCAAATGATAGGTCAACGGGAGTAGAACCCATGGGCTCTCGGCACACAATAAGGGATGCCGGGCGGGCTACGCACGGCACCAGTCACTTTTTTTTCTTCACGACATTTGACGAATTTCCGAAACTTGGCGCTTTCAGCATGTGGTGTCAATTTTCATTTTGACACGGGCATCTATCAATTTCACCACTTACTCGTCCTCTTCCACCTTCCACATTGCTTCGCGTAGTCTTCTTACGAAGTTCCGTAGAGTGCGCGTTTAGTGGCGTCCGATTTACGTTTGTTTATGACTGCCATGCGATTTCTCCGAATGCTGTGACGGCCGAAAAGGAAAAAAAACGCCATAAGACAGTGCCGTGACCGGTCGCTACATAACCAATGTTGTCTTGTGCTAGCGGTTATTCTTTGGGGTGTTTCCCATAAATCCCCAAAGATGACGGCATTCCAACAGTCCACAAAAACGGGTTTTATACGTACTTTCTGCAGTTAATACAATTTTATGGGAAATGTATGTGGCATTGCAATTTTCGAACTACCACGTTTTTATTGGTACTTTAGCTCGTAAGCATTTGCTGTCCCAATACACATCATTGTGCCCATCAATACACATCATGTCAGGACAAAGATATTCCTCATCGTATGACACGAATGTTATAATGTCGGGAGGAGCACAAGCAATATTTGTCATACTGCATGCGAATACCTTGCCGGTTGGAGCTTGGCTAGCAGCCATAGAGTATCTATCATGGGGTACCGACTGTTCACACTCCAGGAAGCGGCGCCACAGTGATTCGCTCTCGAGGATTTACATGCGCGCCGCTTGTCTTGCCTTCGTTCCTCCAGCAGCGCTCTTGGTCAGCGAACCGGTATCGTCCTCTGGAAAGGGCACAGTGAAGTAGTGCATTATGACCGTGTCCTCGGTGATTAGATGCTGTAGAACACCTTGTCCATGTGTACATTCCGTTCGGCGCGTTTCTAACAGAAGGGAAACTTGCAATGCCTTCACCTCCCGCGAGGCGATGACTTTAGCCCAATCGTCAGCCTCACTGATAGCGTCTATCCACACAAAAGTACCTGTGCGACGCGCCCATCCCTCACCTGGTTCTTGCGCTGACCGGGCGGCAGGGTATACAAAAGCGTATTGAGTATCCCTCTAGTGGTGTTTTTTGGTCATCAAACCGTAAACATGCCACGGGGTAGGGATCTTAGTCAGAGTTCAAGGTTATCGAACCGGTTTTTTAATTATGCTTTCGCCATTAAAGGGGCCCTGCAACACTTTTTGAGCATGGTCAGGAAATGCTGTGGATTGGTAGTAGAGGCTCCAGACAACACGCCAGCCAAATATTATAGCGCAGCACGCGGCCTGGAATTCACAATAAATGATCATAGTCGGTTAAAAATTGCTTTCTCTTCTCTCGACGAATCACGGAAAATGTTAAAATATTGCACGTAGCAAGCCCATCTATCAGCCATTGGGTGATATGAACATGGTGCGCTCGCTCGTTACAAAGATCGCCGTGGGAGGCCACGCGGTCACACTGATAACGCCACGCATTCGAAAAAAACGAGTGCCCAAGGTCACGAGAAGCGCGTAATATTTTTCTGTGGCCCTGCTTAGCTTCCAGCGCTTTCTACGGAACGAGAGAAGAGAGAATGTTATTGCAGCATGCGACAAACCTTTGTAACTCCATTCGCGCTGGACAGATTAGATATTTGCGGCATTGGATTCGTGAGCCAATAAGCTCTTCATGTGAATTCGTTCCATGGTTACTTGAAAAAGTGCTTCAGGGCCCCTCTAACTGCTCCAGCTCCCGCCATTGTTTGTTTATACACTGGAACATGGATGGTGGTCATTGGCATAAATATTAACAACTAAACGTCAGAGTGGGTGTAGCCACAATTCTACGGTGGTATTGCTGCGAAAGCACCAATAAACATCGTGTAAATTCTTATACCACTGTGCAGTACACATTCAACTACTTCAGTACCGACACCAATTCCGGTTATGCCATTTACTATGATGGAGGGAGAAAAGTTATCATCGCTTATACAGGCAACCTTTAACTGAATGTGATGAGTGAATGTGATGTACTTTATCTGAATGTGATGCAATTAACTCTTCCAAGGAATGTCTCGGTTACTGGACGACGAGCCTGCTCCTGGTTAACTTATAGGGGCAATCGAATGTAGTGTGCACTGTGTCTCTCCTTCTCTTTTACTCTTCTATATCACTCTCCCCACGTGTAGGATTGTAAACTGGACTCGGCGAAGTTAACCTCCCTACTTTTAATAAATTCTTTCTCACCTCCTTTATTTCAGTCATACATATATATACTCATGGCAATTGATCTCTCAGGCCTTTGTTCTCGTACAGTCCCTCCTCACTGTTGACGAACTTTATATTCTTGATATACAAATTTTCCCCAATATCACGCGCGACGTGATCACACTTCAGCCTTACCTGCAGGTCTGCTGGACGCAATAATAGAAGCCCGGCATTGCCGTATTCCATCTTTCATGCAGCCACAAGCCTTCCATTGCTGCGTGCGTCGCTAGTATGGACAAAAACGCTTTCCGATACCGCGCTCGGGTTTCAGTGCAGATGGACCAAGGTGAAGCGGTGGCCCGAAAGGAAGTAGTGACGGAACTGCAGGTCAGTAAACATGTGCCGTGTCGTTACTCATTTAACATAGCTTCCTTACTTTTTTCCTGTACCAATCGCAGAAGGTTGCGACGGGAGTGCAGTTCTGCGTTGTGGATATGGCAGTGTAGAACCGCACTTCCTGTCGCAGAAGCGTTTTTACGCTTCACAAGTTCAAATGAAGCGTTGTTCTTTCGGTACAGGCTCCCGCTGCACGCCTGTATTGCAATGGGTGTACGTTTCTAAACAGTATAACCACAACGGGTCGATTTTCTTCCACCACTGTCATGAGCTTAACGCTGTAGGGTAACGCATCGTATGCCGAAGCAGCAGTTCATGCAACGCTGCACGAGTTTCAGGAGAAACTATTGCGCGCGTTCTCAGCGCCACGACAGTGGCGCCGTCACTCGCAACGCAGCCAAAAACGTGCGTGCTTGAGAACGACGTAACCATAAACACATTCCATGGACACTGATTATGACACCATGCCGAACTGTTTTGCGTTTATCCTGGACATATGCCGCTTTCGCTGTAAAAATTCGGTGTCACCGCGAGAGTAAATCTATAAACGGGAGAGCAACAAATTGTATTGGACACTAAGTGAGGTGAGGCTGGCCGCTAGCTCTTTTATATCTTGCGCTGCCGTAGGAAATTCGCAGCGTGCGCGTTAACTAAAAGCCGAATTCTTTTGTCTCTCATTCCCCATTAGCAGTCATTAGCATGTACATTGAGCACTATCTGACAAGAAAGCGTTGCTACGTTATACTCGCTGGGCGTAACCTCCTTGGTTTTAAAAACGTTTAGTGAGCGTTGGCCCGCAGTGCCATAAATACAGTGAACTAGTATATGCCGTGAACTCGTGGTGGTTAAAGGTAAAAAGTAGACACAAAGCGCAAGCCGTAAGAAAGTGTGCGTGTGCCAGCACTCCTTTAGTTCTTGGAATGTCCGCTGGATGGCGGTGCTTCTATATGCGGAACATATAATGAAAAGATGCGAGATGGTCGTACTTGGAGTGTTTGACTAGATGGGCGGACGGACACACAGACAGATGCACGGACGAATGGTCGCACGGATGCTCACACAGATGGACGCACGGACGTTTTGCCCCACTCCATCATTCACCCCGTGGATATGCTGCCTTTTTGTTTTTGCAGTCTCTTCCCGTTTAGAGCGCAGTGCGCAGAAGGGTATACGAGCTTTTGAACGATGGCAGCCGAAATAGCAACATAGCGCGTGCGCCGAAATAGTCGACCACCACCGTGAAATCTGTTCACAGCTGCTGCGAGCAACCCCCTCCCCCTTTAATCTCGAATGGTTTCCTCCGTGTTTGAGCATTGCATGGCTGGTGTAACAGGCCGTTCATATTACATGCTTCGCGATAGATTGACCTCTTCGTTTGATCTTTTCTTCAGCCGCGTTCGTCGCCCCCGCTTCCACGCATAGACGATGGATGGATGGATGCTATGAGCGTCCCCTTTATAACGGGGTGGTGACAAGTATGCCACCAGGCTCGACAAAAAAAAAAAGAACCTTTTTTTTTTCTCTTTATGTTGGCCTAATGCCTCTACTTCGATAAATTCTATCTTAATGGAAAAAAGGTAAATTTTCAGCTTAAGTTCTCTGCCATTTACGGCACACTGTCCATATTTTATTTTTCCAATATTTATTTTTGTCCTTTCTCTCTAATTTTCTGCCACCAATACTGTAACCGTCTCTTACTTATTTCAATCGCGGGCCCTATGCAAAATTGCTGCCATCTGTCGGTCGTCGTGTGCCTACAATCATGTTGGAAGCGCGGCGCAGTTCGCACAGTCCGCGTGTGTTTACGTATATATGAGGCGTATCCAAAATGTTTAAAAAGAAGAGAAAAGTGTGCCCCGTAACTGTCTGCCAAGTGCGACACCTTAACAGTAGCTCACGAGGGATGGGGGGTAAGGAGGGATTAAAAGGATGGTATTAAAGAGAGAGATGCGCAAGGACAGCCAGTGAAGACATAAGAGATGGGCAAGATGAAACACGGTCACAGGAGTCGGAGGACAGGGCACCACTTGCGAGAGCTCTTGTCGGTGACAGGAGATGGCGTAGGGCTAATCAAGTCGGCCAGGCCTGCGCTGACGTCGTCGTAGGGGACCGGTGGCAGAAGGTGGCGTAGGACCAACCCAGTTAGCCAGAGATGCGCTGTCGTCGGAGATCGCGAGGGCACATTCGGTCGGCACGGAATACAGCGAGCGAGTCCACGTGAGGCGTATCGACATAAGGCGTGTATTAAGGCGATAGCGTTAGAGACCTCGTGTCGCATAAATTCCACCATCAGCGTCGGCCTCATTGGTTGTAAGCGAAAAATCGTCCATGAGCAAAAAATCGAGGAAGAATCGAATAAAGATAGATTAAAACTTTCATCCTATTGGGGATCGAACCCGGACTGTCACGTGGTAAGCGGGTGTCTTACCACAAAGCTGCCATGTTGCTTTCAGCGGCTTCGGGAAAAAACACTGCATAAATGCCATATAGAGGTCTCCTTAAAGCATTTTGTTTGACAGGTGTCACGACGAAAACGAGCCCATTCGGTGATTTGTAGGCGCATTTGGGAGGCCATCAAACTACTTTGAAAATTCCTGTGCGTTTTTAGCGGCGATGTCTGCACTATGCCGGACTTTTTCAAACAGCTTTAAAAATGGACAACTATGTCCATCTAGCGGAAAACATATCTTGCCTTTCCAGAGGCCGTTGGTCAAGCAAACGGCAAATGCTAGATAATGTGCTGTCATCTGTGAGTCATTGCGAGACTCTTTATGGCCTCTCTACGGCTGCCTGGATCATGCGTGCGCAGATGGCAAGCGCACGGCGTGTATCTTGGAGGCCATTACTCTTGCTTTAGATCAAACACCTGTATTTACCATTCGCGTGTGTGGGCGTGTGTGTTATAGTTCACCGTTAGCGTGATAGCGGAGGTTAAGGAAATGATGTTACCGTGCAGCAAACGTTCGATGTGGACAACGTGTTATAGTTTAGCGGGATAGCGTTTGCATAGTTTACGTGCCCCAGCTGGGATGGGGGCGCCACCTATCAGATTATTCACATGTTAAAGAACAGGGACAAGGAAAAGAGAACGAGAATGTTTGCCTATGCCACCAGGCAAAGCATAGTTAGGTTATTTTAGTAATAATAAAAATAAATATGAACCACGCATCAAACGCGAAAACATTTATGTTGCCGATTTGTTTACATCGGTCTTATAGTTAGGCCTAGACACGTTCAAAATGGGCAGCTCTCAAAAACTATGCCAAGTTATCCGTAATACTCGGTCGTCGCATCTAACTGAATGCAAGCGAAGCCACTTTAAACAGTCGTTTGCTACGAACAAAGTGAATCTTTCGACAACTACAGCCAAAATCACTTCGAAGCGGGCGTCTGAGAGTGCTGCCCTGTTCTCGTACACCTACGCTGCCACGGTAACGTTAAATCTGAAAAATACCGCGCGTACGGCTAGCGGTATGGTTGGGGTACGTATCTGTGCATGCGCACTCCGATTCCGCTGTCACGGTACACCCGGTATCCCGGTAAGCTCGGTATACTATAACTCTCTATTGTGAAAAACGTGTCTCGACTACAGCAGAGCGCCGTTCTAGCAGAGGGTGTAGTCTATAGCAATGCAGTGACCTTACAGTCACTGCATTGTTATAGATACGTCGTGCGTGTGTGTGTGACAAAACGTATTCATAAGTATGCACTTAGCTGTTAAAGGGCGCACTAGGGGCCAGATTTCGCTATCGCACTCAACTCTTAAAGGCGAAGCATGAGGGTCTTCCAATTTTTGGCTTATAATCACCATACTGACTTATTGTGGCATCCTTTGCTGCACACATAGAAGTCGGAATGCTGATGGAAGAAAGATAATCCGTAAACTTTGCGCCTTTATTTTTTTTTCGCTGATAACGTTTCCAGCATGTGCTCCGGCTACTGCTCCCGAAACACGTGTTTGAGTTCTCCTTTCAAAGCAAGTAGGACCTAGTAGGACGTGCTCTAGCGTTTGTATTCATGTTCTCTCAAAGTGATGCACGCTGAAGCAAGACAGTCGTTGGGACGTTTTCAATGGCAGCCGTTCCACAAGTGAAGGCGACTCGTGCGCTTCACACAGAAGCCACGTTCTCACAACGCGCTTTATCGCAGCTAATTGCATGTATATTTTGTTGAATGTGTTTTGTTTATTACGTCTCGGTAACGGCACACGCTGAATTAGAATCAAGTGTACGTCGTCGTTTAATTCTGAAAGGGGCGTCCAGGTGTTAAACAGCTTTGTATCGCGTTGTTCCGATTTCTTTTTGGGAAGTGTGGCAAGTTGCCAATTAACAAAATTACTGCGAACGTTTTTCAAGGATTCGATGTGCTTGCAGACTTAACCAGGTGCAGGCACATGCAATTGGCCACTGTAAAGATTGTTGCGGGCACGTGGCTTCTGTGCGAACGTTACGAGTGGCCTTCACTTGTTAAACGGCTGCCAATGAAAACGACGCCAAAACTGTCTCGGCTTCGGCGCGCAGCATTCACGGGTACAAATGCTATTGCACGTCTCACTTGCTTAGAAAGGATAACGTTAATACGTGTTTCGGGACCAGTAGCCGGAGTACATACTGAAAGCGTCATCAGATTGAAAAAAAAAAGTAACAAGGGGCCGAGTTTGCTGTTAATATTTTTTTCCTTCGGTGTTCCTCTGTGTGCAGCAAGAGACACAGCAGTACGTCGGCATTGCGATTAACAGCTAATACACGCATCACATCGATGCACCCTACGTAAACACACGCGGACTCTGCGCACTGCGCCGCGCTCGAGCCTCTAACATGGCGGTATGCACACGGCGGATGGCAGCAATATTTATAATGCCACATCCCGTGGGTAGAGCTTGCTATCCGCTGGGAGATGTTATCAATTTCCACTTTATCCGGAGCAAGGTGGCGACGACACAAAGCCTTCGACGCTGTCCGAGTAATTGTCGCTATGCAGATTTTTATATA